GTTACAAGTCCAATTAGTGTTTTTTATAGTCTCACATGTTACAGGTCCAATTAGTGTTCTTTATAGTCTCACATTTTACAGGTTCAATTACAGTTCTTTATAGTCCCACATGTTACAGGTCCAATTAGTGTTCTTTATGGTGTCACATGTCACAGGTCCAATTGTGTTCTTTATGGTCCAACATGTTACAGGTCCAATTAGTGTTCTTTATATCTCAAATGTTACAGGTCCAGTTAGTGTTCTTTATAGTCCTACATGTTACAGGTCCAATTAGTGTTCTTTATATCTCAAATATTGCAGGTCCAATTAGTGTTCTTTATAGTCCCACGTGTTACAGGCCCAGTTAGTGTTCTTTATAGTCCTACATGTTACAGGTCCAATTAGTGTTCTTTATAGTCTCACATGTTACAGATCCAATTAGTGTTCTTTATATCTCAAATATTACAGGTCCAATTAGTGTTCTCTATGGTCCCACATGTTACAGGTCCAATTAGTGTTCTTTATAGTCCCACATGTTACAGGTCTAATTAGTGTTATTTATAGTCCCACATGTTACAGGTCCAATTAGTGTTCTGTATATCTCAAATATTACAAGTCCAATGAGTGTTCTTTATAGTCCCACATGTTACAGATCCAATTAGTGTTCTTTATAGTCCATGTTACAGGTCCAATTATGTTAGTAATTCTGTCCTTTCTGCCAAGCTTCAGGTGCCTTTATGTAAACTGGCTTTAATAAAGCTAGTTGTTGACCTGCAATGTATAGTTTCTACTACGAGCTCGTTTATTGCAACTAACCTACTTTTTTCCTTCACCATTGTTGAGCCTCTGGTTCGCTATTTTCTGGGCCTCTGTTTATGTATCTCTAGAGCTACGCTACAAACGTTAAAATACCTTTTTGCTGCTCTATTTTATTAATGGGCTTCTATATCTCTACCAAAAAATAACTCGAAGAATAGTCAACAGTAAGGAAGACTATTGCAAGCATTACAAGAGGAAGGTGTAGGTATCCCACTGTTCAGGCTAGTTTCCACTCGCCTTTTTAAATTTATCTTTCAACCTTATATGTTGTCTTACTGTTAACCCATTAGTGGGAAGATGCTATGGACTATTAACCTTGTGTTTTCTTGGGAGTTTTTTCCAGTGATTTTTAATTCACTGTGAATGAAATTTAGTTCCCAAGGTCTCCGAGTCACAACATTTATTACTCCCGCCTTCTAGTTTAAACTCATGTTATCTTTCTCTGATGTAAATCTTCTAAATTTTGACTTTCTATACTCTGCTTAACATTATCCCAGGAAGTATAACTGTACAAATAACCACCAATTACAAATCTCTAATAAATTTCAAGATCCAGCTGTTGTTGAATAGCCCCTAGTAGCTCAACGGTAAGGCTTGCGGACATATAACGCTAAAAACCGGGTTTCGATACCCACGATGGGCACAGCACAGATCGTCCATTATGTAGCTTTGTGCTGAACAACAAACAAATATTGTAGAATAATTTAAGCACTTTCACATCTTAACACCAAGGTAGCCTCACTCAGATGCTACATTTATTCCCATAGTAACAAAATACTTTGTATTATAATTATAGTTTGAAGTATTTTTTTCAGAATCAAAATTTTATCACTTTTTATTTTATCAGTTTATTTTCTGGTGATTTCTACAATTACGTTTCCCAGTTTCAATAGTTTGCATTGTAAGTAAAGGCGTTGTAAAGTTTATTATCTGGCCATTTCTACAGTTAGCCCCAGTGGCACAGCGGTATGTCTGCGGGCTTATAACGCTAGAATCTGGGTTTCGATACCCGTTGTGGGCAGATCACAGATAGCCCATTGTGTAGCTTTGTGCTTAATTACAAATAATTCTACTGTTGAGTTTTTCAGTATTAGTATTTTGTGTTGTAAGTATAGGCGTTGCAAAGTTTATTATTTGATTATTTCTACAGTTAAGCTTTTAAGAATCAAAACTTTGTGTTGTAAACATAGATTTTCTAAAGTTGTATTCTTTAGTTCTTTCTATAGTTCAGTTTCTCAGTATCAGTACTTTGTGTTGTAAGTATAGGCGTTGTAAAGTTTTTATTTGGTTATTTCTGCAGTAAAGTACTTTTAACTCCTCTATTACCATGAAACGTTCTCAGATAGCTGGCTCATTCCTGATATTTTTTTAGTCAACAAACTCCTGCTATTTCAAGGATACGTCAATAGCAAGTTATGGTTATCCTTTATCCTGCTAAGTTATCTGTTTAACAATTAAGTGGCGTGTTTCTATTTGGCTACAAGTTTGCTAATCACGCGTTAACACCAGTTTTAGACATACTTAACGTTTGAACTCACTACAGATAAATAGCTTTAGATTATTCGTATATCAATAGCAGTAGTACTGCCGGCAAAAGGATACAGCTATTAATTATTTCATTTTAAGTTTTTCTGCATGTATAGAAATTATGCTATCGGAATATTATAAAAGCAACCATGATCATGTCAAAAATCCTTGAACACGAAAATTACGTCATAAAATTTGTACCCGTGCAAACATAAATAATATTGTACGTATTTACTGGCCGGCATGGCCAGGTGGTTAGGGAGCTCGACTTGCAATCTGCGGGTCGCGGGTTCGAATCCCCGTCACACCAAACATGCTCGCCCTTTCAGCCGTGGGGGCGTTATAAAGTCACGGTCAATCCCACTATTCGTTGGTAAAAGAGTAGCCCAAGAGTTGGCGGTGGGTGGGGATGACTAGCTGCTTTCCCTTTAGTCTTACACTGCTAAATTAGGGACGGCTAGCGCAGATAGCTCTCGTGTAGCTTTGCGCGAAATTCAAAACAAACAAACAAACGTATTTACTATGTAGTGATAGCCTTTTTTTCCAGCAACTTATTCAATTACTTTTTTATTCAATCAAGTTTTTATTTAATCAAGTTCAGTGCGATAGTTTATTACAATATAGTCCTTCACTATCCTAGAAAATGTTTTGTTTTGAGAACATAATTATTTGTCGGCAGTAAAACGTCATGATACCATATTTAGCTAACCATCCAAAAGTCATTGTTACATTTTCTAGTCCCATTCATTACTGCATTCATTTATATAGAAATTTGGTTAGTAGCATTCTTTAGGGTAAGTATTAAAATTTCAAGACCTTCCGTTCCCAAGAGCCCAGATAGCAGTTTTGTTTGAACCACGGAAACCTGATGCTTCACCTTGAACATGCCATAACCTGAGACCTTGCAAGTAGGCATACTTTACTTGCTGTTGACCACAACATTTCTTTCTGTAGTCGTTTGCACATTCTTTTCTTCCTGTTATTGAATTAAGAGTCTTAACTTCAAATGACGCGAGTCTGTATTGAAAACATGTTTTATTTTCAAGGTTTTTGAATTTGCCAGTACATTATGGATATTTTTACAGCAGCTTAATCCAGTTCTTTAAACGTTAACGTAAAAACTCTGTTCCTGAAAAACAGGTATCTTGCATTTGCAAAAGTGTAAAACATTAAATGAAACCAGAACATTATTCATTATTCTTGACTCTGTTAAATTGTTTAGTTTTATATATAGTTTTAAAATCAAAACCGATATCATTTTCATATAATAAAAAAATAAAAGAAAATAGTTTACATAAACATGTATTAGAAAATCGCTGTCAGGCCTATTATCCATCCCAGGTTTTAAAATACTCGGAAATTTTCCCGATGAAATGTGAAAGCTGAAGGAAAAGAGAACTTTATATTTAAGAACTCAAATTAAAAGCAACTCCCTCCTTTGCACAGTTCTCACTCTTTTTCTTTCTTTCTTTCCTGTGCATTTGCCTTTTCTTTTTTAGTCCCCAGGTGGGACAGCAGTAAGTCTACGGACTTACAACACTAAAATCCGAGGGTCGAACTCTCGCAATGGACACAGCAGACAGCCCAACGTGGCTTTGCTATAACACACATGCATTTGTTGTTGTTTTTCTCAACTCATCTCTCACTCACAAACTATTTTTTCATTTTCCTTTTAGTCCTATCATGTAAATGCTTTTCCTGTTTTTCCGTTGTTTCAAAATGTTTTATCCTGGTAAATACATTTCAGACTTTTTACTTTTGACTATTGTTTTCACTGAATTGTTGGTTGGTTTTTCTTCAATGATTTACATATGATAGGCCCCCAGTGGTCCTGGGAACAGTTTTTGGATTTACAGTGCTGAAATTCGAGAGTTGATTTCCCGCGATATACATACCGCATATAGCATATATGGGCAAAGGTTGGGCCCTGAGGTACAGCTCTGGATTTCAGAGCTGGCGAGCCGTGTTCGAATTCGTGCGAAACTACAAAATATCCCCCACACTTTGTTGTTGGTGTGTTATAAAAGCTATAGTCCTTAGTGTGGATAGTAAACAGTAAGGTGCTACTTACTGGTTGCCTTCCTAAAGTAGGGGCGGCGGCAGATAGCCTTAGTAACTTTGCCATAAATACAATACAATACTTTCAATAGAAATTCGATTTTATTTGCTTTTTAATTCAAATAAACCATTTTATTTTTATTCTCTGCATATTTCTAATAGATGTTATGTAACTTATTTATCGTAATTTAGCTTTAAAACAAACAAAAATGTACGTAACGTTATGTTTCAAGTACATTTTTCACTGCTGTAGTCAAATAGTTTAAGTTCTTGGAAAAATTCCTTATTAGCAGATGGTATAATGTTCTATGATTGATGTGCGAGAGGTACCAGTTTCGATACCGGCCCATGCAGAATCACAAGATTATCACAAATTGCGCTATAACACCATCTGGTTGTCGCCCTACGATTTTGAGATAAGGTTTGAGGAGGGATCTTGTTTGTGAATAAAAATTATGGTAGCTAGACAGTACGAGTTCTTTAAAACAATTGCGAGGAGGTCAACCCTTCAACTCAGATCGTGCAACGTTCAGTTGGTGCACGAGAGGAATCGGGTTCGATCCCACGAATGGCGAAAGATTGATTGTCCTTTTTTCGCTCTCTCTTTGTTTTTACAGGTGCAGAATTAGAATCTGTCCGAGCCCTCTTTAATGAGAAAGAGAAAGAACTTTCATTGGCTGTGGCGAAGGTGGAGGACCTCACGCGACAACTGGAGGAACTACGACGAGGTAATCTTAATGGAGTTAAAACCAGTAACAACGTCTCCTTGCCTGCAGCACTGGAGCTGGAGAAACTTAAGAGGGAATTAGTGGTGAGTGCCTTTCAAACAGCTACTGCGCTTTTTCATGGAATATTGTTGTTTCGTGCAAAACGAAGATAGTTTCTAAATAGTATAAAAGTTACTACAGAACCTGATTTGAAGTCATCCACCTCAACTACAATACAGTAAATTTTTCATTACCTCAACATACGTGTATTCTCAACTTCTAAGCTCTGTTTAAAAGACTATAATTTTCGAATTATTTTTCCTTACATTATGCTATAAAAATACCATAGTATAAAAGGTTTGAACATGTTGAACTTATAGATTTTGTTGCTCTTCGTTGTCTTCCGTATCATTTTCTGCGTGTGTTCGATATACTCTCTGACAGTGCGATTTTTATTTGAACTTCAGTATGAAAGAAAAATTCTGGTATTTTCGCTAGTATCCAAATCTTGTACAGCACAACAACCAAAGTAAGGATCAAATACCTTATATATATATATATAAACAACAGCGAAGACTGATCAACTCAATCGCTGCAAATGAGTGACCATCTGACAAAAGCCTGTTAAAAAATAAATTGGGAGAAAAAGTATTTTATTCAATCATATAATAATATTATTATGATCTGGTGATTTTGTTATTGTGGCTGTTGTTGGATTATTCGAAACATCAAACTTTCTATCGATTGGTCTAAAGATTGAATGCAGGATATTGTCAAGTGACATTAGTAAGGTCAATTCCTGATTATCCTGATTAGTATAAGCTAAATCCAAATAAGCTAATGAATAAAGAATTTAGATCAAATTTTATATGTAAGCTTTGATAGCTACATCTGTCAATAGATAACATTTTTGCTGTTGTATCTTGGTGAAAGAAATCGGTAACTTTATCAATGTGTACGTAGCATTGCTTCTTTGTAAACCACAATATCTAAAATGTAAATCGCTAAATTTTTCATCTTATTAACGTATATATTTCTTGTAAGATAAAATATCCTACAAATTATAGACTTTCGAAAAATATCATTTTTGACTGTTATTTATTTTGTAGTATCGAACGAAGCTTAACGAGGGGCAGAATGCGCGGATTGCACAGCAGAGGGAGACACTGGTTAAAAATCACGAAGATGTTTCGGGAATGGACCAACGAATTGCAGAACTACAACAACGTCTCCACCGGAAACGAATGGCAAATCACCAGATCTCTGGCCAGAATCATGCTGCTTCTGTAGCCAAACAAGCACATGTGAGACGCGGGTCAATTAAAACACATCCTCATATTGCTGTGGTGGAAGAACCTGATCGTATTCAAAACGACCTGGAAGCTCCTCTAAGGAGAGGAAAAGGTATCGTAGAGTTAGGTGAACCTGCCAACAGCCCAAGATATCAGATACTGCCTAGCAGTACTATATTTACGATCAAACCTGAGAAATATATCAATAATTCCGAGGAAAGTGGAGACGGACTAAAATCGATCGAAGATAAAGCCCATCAACAAACTACTTTCGTAACTTCCTCTTCTAGCACCGAACAAGTTTCCATGCATCTACAACAGCTTCCCACCAAACAAAATGTCATTCCACCGCCACCGGGAAAGCCTATCCAACCCCCGCATCATCTTCGTCCTTACTGTTTGCCTCTCCGAAGGCTTCCACCCTCCAGGGGGCAGTGTAGTACTAATGGCAATTCCATAATGCAAGTAAATTCAAGCGCTTCCAACTGTAGTATTGTAAGTAAATGTTGTTTTTCTTTAATGTTTACGTAAGAAATGGCCAGATTTGTTACTCTTCTGCTAGATCTAGAAGATTCTCCGGCGTAAATACAACTTTTTCTGATCATTTAAAACTCAAACTTAACACTTTATTTCCATATCCTCCCAGATACAGAAGTGTTTCTACTATAAACATGATTTTGTGAATTAAATATAGTGTCGCAAATGTGTCTTGTTAATCAGTTCGGCATGATTCTTATACTTGTATCTACAATTGATTAGTTAAGCATGAGTCTAATACTTGTTTCTACAGTCAATGAATTAATTATTATACTTGTTTCTACGATTGTCGAGTTAAGCATGATTCGTAAACTTGTATCTACAATTGATTAGTTAAGCATGAGTCTGATACTTGTTTCTACAGTTAATGAATTAATTATTATACTTGTTTCTACGATTGTCGAGTTAAGCATGATTCGTAAACTTGTTTCTACAATTGACTAGTTAAGCATGAGTCTGATACTTGTTTCTACAGTTAATGAATTAATTATTATACTTGTTTCTACGATTGTCGAGTTAAGCATGATTCGTAAACTTGTTTCTACAATTTATGAATTAAGTATTATTCTTATACTTGTTTCTACAATTGACTAGTTAAGCATGAGTCTGATACTTGTTTCTACAGTTAATGAATTAATTATTATACTTGTTTCTACGATTGTCGAGTTAAGCATGATTCGTAAACTTGTTTCTACAATTTATGAATTAAGTATTATTCTTGTACTTGTTTCTGCAATTGAAGAATTGAGCCTGGTTTTTAAACTTGTTTCCACAATACATCTGTTAAGCACGATTCTTATACTTCTATTACTTATTACTTCTATTATACTTATACTACAATTCAATAATTAAGAATCATTCTTATATTTTTTACAGTATACCAGTTAAGATAGTTTCTTATACTTGTTTCTGTCAACTAGTTAAACCTGATTCTTATACTTCTTTCTACAAATGAACTGTAAAACGTCGTCTACAGTTATACTTGATCCGTATACTTTTTTTTTCTATACTTAACCAGTTTAAGCCTGATTTTTATATTTGTTTCTACTATTGGCCAACTAAGCATGATACTTATACTTACTTCTTTAATTCAACAGTTAGGATTGATTCTTAAACTTCTCCAATTTGCCAGTTAAGCTTGATCATTATAGTTTTTCTACAATTCACCAATTATGCCTCATTATTTTACTTTCTTCTACAATATTCCAGTGAAGACTGATTCTTATGTGTTTCTATAATTCAAGTTTATCATGATTCTTATTCTTGTTTCTTCAGTTCAACATTTAAGCACGATTCGTGACTGTAATATAGTTCTTAAATTTTTACTTCGGTAGTGATTAATAATGGCTGGAGACGGCTTAAATGGGTAATGAAGAAAGACTTTAATATAAGTTTAACATGACAGCAAATGTACAACGTTTCGACAAGGTTTTGTCATCATCAGGCCTTAATAACTTGTTTACAACATTTTATCAGTACATCATCGTGTGTTTACCGTTTGTTACGATAAATAACCTGACTTTATAATTCAGCATATTTACTTGATATTATGTTGTATTTCAGCTTACTGGTTTGCTGAAATTCTATGATTGTTTTTGTAGTCGTGCTTTTTAATTTATTATAATTGGGTACTAACACCATAAATCGATACTAATCAAATTCATGATTAACTATAATTATGTTTCTTCCTCAATTTTAGTTTTCTACATCTGGTAAAAATTTAACATTTTTCAGATCCTCTTATAAGTTCAAGAACTTTTTCATTCTAGCAACCAGTACTGACCAACAGTGAATTACCACCTACTTTACACGAACTAATCCCGCTACCAGGGAGTCAAGGAAACTCTGTACTCCTGCCAGTCTCACCTTCAAGGACAGATATGATCCCTCAGTCTCAGTCAACTGCCCCACGGGCGGAGGTTCGACTTTCGACTAGTCCCAGGCATACCGGTTCCTCAGACAGTCATCAAAGTGTATCAGCACGAGAAACTATCGTTAGCAACATTTCAACCACAACAAGTTTGACCACCCCCTCTGTTGTGAAGTATTTTCCTCCTCCCCTCCCAGTGAGGCCCGTGCCTCCGCCTCGACAAACCCACCAGCTTGCTGAAGGCAATTCATCTTCAGCAAGAGGCTATGTAGAAACATCTTTAGATTCGTTAGACTCGACTTTATCTGCCTTGAAAGCCCCCGGGAACCAGGCTAACAAGAACATCAACGGATTCAGGTGCGATCACGACAACTCGAATAAGGTTTTCTTATAAAACTGAAAAGGAGACTTCCAGCCGGATAAATTAAAAAGTGGTACTGAAGTAACAAATACTGAACGGGTTTAGCTTGCCTTATGTTAACTTTACATATCTTATCCCTGTAGTACATTCAAACGGAAGTTCTGTTTAAAAATATTAGCAGTTGTTGTATTCAGATTTCCTCGAAAGTAAAGTTCTAGGAAGTAATCGTGTGTGCAGATTAACATGGAAGGTTATAGCGATTTAAAACATACAGAAAATTTCTTCTTAAATTTATTTATTCGTTAAAACACTTTCTGTATTCAGTTTCAAATACTTATACCTCATTTTACAACTTAAGGACAAATTGGCCCTCAGTGGCTCGGCTGTAAGTCTGAGGACTTATAACACTAAAAATCGGGGTTCGATACCCGTGCTAGGCAGAGCACCGATAGCCAATTGTGTAGGTTTGTGTCTAACAACAAACAAGCAAACTGTTTCACTTTTGCAGCTACAGATGTAGTCTACATTTTTTATTGAACTGTGATGACGTAAACTGTTTGTTTTGGTTGGTGTAAAAGGTAGTTATTGTTTTTTCCTCGCGTAACCACAGAAAGTATAAAGTCCAAATATTAATGAACTCTTACAAGAACAATTTAACTAATAAAAAATCGCAATGCAGTTTTTCTTCATATTTCAATTCGTTTCAGTAATTTTGCGTAAAAAATTGAATTTTGTTTTATGGTGGGATTGTTATTTCCTGTAGAATTTCAAACCGTCTAAACGGAATCGTAGTACGTAGTTGAATAAATATTACTAACTAGCAGAGTACCCGGTGTTGCTCGTATGAAAATAGCTTTAAATATCCTGAGTTGTTTTGATTAAATCAAACGTATTAATCGTGATTTTTTGCAAAAAAAAAATATAAAAAATCCAAATGATTTCCTTACTTAACTAATTATTTTGATTAAAGTCAATAAAATAACAATGTGCGAAAAAATAAAATATAGCTATAGCTATTTTAATCTAAGCAAAACCGAGTACATTGCTCCTGCTTCTTGCATGTGCTTTGCATGACATTTCAAGTTTCCAAAACAAAATTCCCTACCTTGTGATGTAGTGGTTTCTGCTGTGTGGTCAAGTGTCATTTGCAGCATATTCTGACTTTATTATCGTTCCATTTATTGAATAATTGATTTATTCTCTTCTCGTTGCAACACAACGTAAATGAAAATTTGCCGAAACCAAACGTTTTTGCAAAGTCATCATATAGCTGATTCTTGCGAGTACACGCAAGCAAAGCAAAGATATGGCTGAAGCAAGCTTATTTAATTGAGGGAGTGTGTTCGCAGATGTTCTAGAGAAAGCACTAGCATTTTTTTAGTTCAGGTAAGTGAAAGAGTAGGCATGCATGTGTAGAAGAAAGAGAGGGTTTGTTTATTTGTTATGAATTTTGCGCAAAGCTACACGAGCGCTATCTGCGCTAGCCGTCCCTAATTTAGCAGAGGGAAAACAGCTAGTCATTACCACCCACCGCCAACTCATGGGCCACTCTTTAACCAACGACTAGTGGGATTGACCGTTACATTATAACGCCGCCACGGCTGAAAGGGCGAGCATGTTTGGTGTGACGGGGATTCGAACCCGCGACCCTCAGATTGCGAGTCGAGTGCCTTAACCACCTGGCCATGACGGGCCTCGAAGTATGAAAAAGCGTAACATTAAGAACAAACGGGGGAAATTTGTCAAGGGTAACTATAAGTAATAGCAAATTAAGCCTATGGGTTATTGAGAAACTAAAAACGAAGCTAGGTTTGAGTGCCTATCAAAATGTAAGGAGGAAGACGGGGTAAGTAAAGCACCGTGTCAAAGGCCATGCATGGTTTGACATGGATTGTTGAAGTGTGCGAGCAGCACAGCACCCGCTGTCAACCTTATCGATGAAAGCCTATTTTTCTTGTTGCTTTGAAAGCAAATAAATCAATAGAGTATGTACACTTAAAGTTGAAACCTTAGGTCACGAACTCTCTTCCACAACAAACTGATTTCTGTAATGTAGTAAGCAAAAACGCCAAGCGCATCAGTAACAATTTAGAATCAACAACTTGATGTTGTAAAATTATTAAATAACTTTCAGCATCTACATTAAGTTATTTTTGAAAAATAATGCCCGTTCCAGGTTTGTACTTTGAGCATTAATTCATATATTAATTCCCTTGTTGATGACTATCACTAGAAGTGCTAGAAAAGCATATGTAATTTAATAATGTAAATTAGCTAAGCCTGATGTATTTTCGTATTGACACCAATTAGTTGTAGGATGCATTATTTTCTTTGTATGTTATTTCCATTTTATAATTTAATTCGAGTTGTTGTTTTTTTCAAACCGAGAAAAAAATACCCACAAAGACCAAAAGTCTCCAAAACCACCGCATTTCGGTCATAACTGTGTCGTATTTAATTGTAATATAGTAAAAACAAACACGAAACGACGAACATAAGTTAACTTGTGTGATCTACTTGTAACGCACGTGTACGTACAGTATCTCAATCATCTTTATACTGCGTGACAACCAAGATATGTAAAAATAAACATCATCAGTATACAATCATCTTTATATTGCGTGACAACCAAGGTGTATAAAAATATACATCATCAGTATTGTGTCCTCTTTATACTGCCTGACAACCAAGATATGTAAAAATAAACATCATCAGTATACAATCATCTTTATACTGCGTGACAACCTAGATGTATAAAAATAAACATCATCAGTATACAATCATCTTTATATTGCGTGACAACCAAGATGTGTAAAAATAAACATCATCAGTATACAATCTTCTTTATATTGCGTGACAACCAAGGTGTATAAAAATATACATCATCAGTATTCTGTCCTCTTTATACTGCGGAACAACCAAGATCTATAAAAATAAACATCATCAGTATACAATCTTCTTTATACTGCTTGATGACCAAAAATGTGTTATGTTATGGAACCTCTCCATAAAGACGAACTTAACAATGACAGTGTACTTGAGAACCACTAACATATATTACATATCATCAAAATATGTCCAATTTGAGCTTAATTTTAATACGAGCGTTATGTTTAAAGAATTAAAACGCTAAAATTCGGGGTTCGATTCCCTGCAGTAAATAGAGTGCAGATCGCCCATGTCTTGTATAAATAGTGTTCCGACCACTACTATTTTCCTTGTATCTCAGCCGGCATGAAGAGCTCTGGATTGAGCGGAATGCGTCGTCGACAATGGATATGACGAATATAGTATGGTTGGAATACTATTAGTATAAACTCTTCTAGTTCTTAAAAATCCCTAAGGGACTTGATAAAGAACGTAGTGTTTAAAGATATAATAGTCCTAATACTAATGTATTATGACCAGTATAATTATAATTATGTTTCGCCATCTTATAAAAGTCAAAAGATTGATGTTTTACTTATCAAATTTTCTCCGTAAACTTTAAAGCAGGAGAACGTTTTTGCTAGTTTACCGTGTTTTGTTAAAAATCAATTACATATTTGTTAGTTATCAATTGTTTTGTTTCAGAATGTGGATATACTTCTGACTCTAAATTATTAAGCTACTTTTCATGCTTTTGGTAACGTTGACGTTCAGTCACTCTATGGAACTTTAGGCCTAGCTAGTACACATTGCAAACAAATGAAATCTAGTGCACTGTATCCAATTAAAAGTCATAAGAATTCCACAAAGTGGAACATGCTAATTTTAAGGGTAAAAGACGTTTTTTTTTCTTTTTTTGCAGAATATCACAAAGAACTAGAAATTTACTAAAACCTTGCTATAAATGCTCCGATAAATTTATATTATTTTTAATGGAGTATTGTACAACATATTAAGAAATTGTAAAAATCTAAGATGTGAAACGTCTTTATTTTTGGCTTAAGATAAAACTGCACTAAAATATTATATATGCTGTTTATTTTCAGTTTGTTGCAACGATTTGAGAGCAATATACATCTTTCTGTTATTAACAAACATTTCAATAAGTGGACATTGACAGTACCTCAAAAGCGAGCACAGTTAATAGTTAGGAAGTAATTAAAGATATTACATTCACAACAGTTTATCTTGGAACACCATTAACATCCAGTTTAAATGTTACAAATTTAATTTCTTAGAGGTGAAGGTATTTTTAATTTATAGTGTGTCTATAACTATTTTGGTTTTAAAATATCTCTTACTTCGATAGATTTCATGCTTCAGTAGTTTGGAATAGTGCTGCGTGTGTAAAGTTACAAGTCGAGATCACCGTATTTATAATTATGACGTCTACTTGTCAAGCGCTAGTAAATATTACAAGTTTTATTGTCATTATTGACATTGTTTAGAGATTCTACAAGTAAAATTGAAGTTGTGTTTCAACACTTCAAAACCTAAACATACTTATATAAAAGATAAGGCACTTACTTTACACTTGACATTAAGTGTCTTCCATAACCAAACTCTTGGAGTACTAGAGAACTCTCTAGCAGTTTGTTCCCCCTCACCCGTGTCCACTAGTAGAGCTCTCTCAGACTGCCCAGCACACACATACACGCTGTCAGTCTCCCTCAGAAGCTGGCTTTAGGCACCGTGCGACCGATTCGGCTCAAGAGCGGGTCTCAGAATTTTATAGTGATGAAGTGTTTTTTTTCATACGTCACATGATTATTAAAACACACAAATATGATATTAAAACACTTAAAATACATTTTACAATTATACCGTGTGTTTAAAATGTGCACGTTTTTCAAAAGATTAATTACTTATATACAATGAAAGTCGTTTTTGTTTCGTTATTCGTGTTAGAAGGACAGAAGGTGTGAAAAACATTATATAATTCAAAGTTGTCAATATTGTAACGCAGTTAGAAATAGTGTAAATTCAAAAATATGCGTTTTTAAAACTTGCTATAATGTTAGTGACTTTTATATGGTACCCAGTTGTTGTTTTTTTTTCTTGCTGATTA